ACGAAAGTTTGTAACAATTCGATTGATCACGAACTGGCTTTTACATTTTGGTCAAGGGATGGATGAAAATACAGATGAAGAGTAATTTGCAAAAACGCAAAAGTGTTGTATTTAATAGAACCTGTGATGAAGCAGCGGGATATTCACCAACTAGTGTGATCCGTTATTTTACAATTTGTAGCCATTATCCGGTTCGAAGGATCAAAACATTGAAACGACTGTACGCGGTAAAGATTTTGTCTGTAATTGCAAGCTTTATCAATTTTTCCGAGTTAGTTGCTCATTGAACTTTCTGCAAATTTCGAAAGGATTTCAATAGGAAGTTTTAAAGACGCATGTCGAAATAATTAACTATTCTTCAAAGCCTTTGTCAAACTGTTCTCACGTTTTTGTCAAAATCCGCATAATTTTAACCGCCAAGAATCCACTACCGGTTTCTCTTTTGCTACTGTTCATTGATGAAAAAAAGCAATGAATCCCATGAATTGTCCGCAACCAGTTACCCAAAACGGACCGAAATAGTTCGAAATAGAAAAGAAATAAACAGTTAAATTAGTTACCTAACGCTGCCTAAAGAGATGATTATAAAATCGATCTCACGATTTGATTCGTCTCGTTGTGTCGACAACGGTTTCTAATCTTTGCCGTGAAAATCTTTAAATGAACCCTAAACCGCTGAAGTGAATATCGTGTTTGCGTGCTCCACAGTTGAACGTTTCTGCCAATTTTATCATAAATAAATACAAAAATTCAGTCAGTATTTAATTAATGAAACTTTATAAGGGGTGCGCACGTCCTGGATAAATAATTAGTTCAGTTTTCTGGGGCATTTCGCTGAGGATTTATCAATTATTATTCAAACAACTATCACTGCACGCAGCCATTTGTTGCTTCCAGTCAAGAAAAAAACCCGAAACTACCGAGTGAACGTTGAAGCATTGTAGCGGAACGGAAATTCGATATGTCGCTTAAGTAAGCTTTCATTGCATGTTTGCAAAAAGCATACAATAACATGGTTACTGAAATCCTGATTAGAAGCGAAAAAATTAATTATTTATGACAATTGTGGTACTAAAAAGTCTCTTCCCGGTTCAGTTTCCGACGAATAACTAACTGTCTTTGATTGAAAAGTGCGTGTTTTTTTATGTAGTTTGAAGCATTTTTGCCTTACATATGCAACATAAAGAGTAAAATTTTATGAGTTTTAATCGTCAAAAAAACATGTGTTGTCACTCAATGTTTTTTTCTAGTATTTCCATTCTTTTTTACATCCATTTTGGAGTTGAGACTATGGCCTCCACTATTTTGTAATTTCTCATCATTTTTATTCGGTGTCTCATTGTTCCACTGTAAGATTTTTCTTTCTTCGACTTCATCTACTTTACTCAATGATATTATGTGTCTTTGTTCCACCTCCAGTTTTTTTATTTTTTTGTCCCTCTTTATTTTTCTGAAACATATTCTAACTGAAACTATTTTTGTTCTTAGGTCACTGTTTGTGTTTTTTTAGGTTTTGATCAATTATGAAAAATTAAACTATTTTCTTGTTTCCAAAGGTGTTATTTCGGATTCTTGAACACTTGAATATGTGAAATGGCTTCGTTTGTATACGAAAATGCGTTTCAATCATCAAAAAAAAAATTTTTTGTTCGTTTCCTTCACTTAAAAAATCATAAAATAGTTTCCTGTATTTTCATTTTATGTGCATCCATTTTGGACTAGGGACTATGAAGTCCACTATTTTGTCGTTTCAGGTAATTTTTATTCGGTGTCTCATTGTTTCACCGCAAGTTTTGTCTTTTTTCGTCTTTACTCAATCAATTTCTGTGTCTCTTAGTTTCACCATGGAAAAATTAAAAACTACTTTTTTGTCCCTCTTTAATTTCCTCGTCAATTTATGTTTCTCAAGCAAATTATAACTGAAACTATTTTATTTTTTCCATTTTTAGCATAGTTTTCATTTTATGTGCATCCATTTTGGACCTGGGATTATAAAGGCCACTATTTTGTCGTTTCTGGTCATTTTTATTCGCTGTCTCATTGTTCCACCGCAAGTTTTGTCTTTCTTCGTCTTTACTCAATCAATTTCTGTCTCTCTTGATTCCACCTCGAAAACATTAAAAACCACTTTTTTGTCCCTCTTTAATTTCCTCGTCAATTTATTTTTCTCAAACAAATTATAACTGAAACTATTTTATTTTTTCATTTTTGCATTATTTCGTGGGGGCTCTAACTCAACTAATTCAAATTATGCTAACTCTAACTATTGAAAGTGATTAAATGTCTTTATGTTGAAATTTTTGTTATCAAGTTTCAACATTTTTATTTTTGTTTTTCGGGGGTTTTTACTATTATTTTTATTAATTTCTTGCTGGCGATTTCGTTTATGTTTGTTTCCTGTTATAAAATATTTCGATTTGAGCATTCTTACCAGTCAATCTGGAGTTTGTAATTTATTTTTTTCTTCATTTTCAGTCAGCCGTGGTTTTTTTTCGCTTTCGGCAGTATAATTTATTTATTTTTTATTTGTTTATTTACCTTGTAATTTCTCCCAATATTTGATTAATTAAGTAAATACATGAGCAATTCACATTATGGTTGTTTAACTAATGATTTTAAGCTAAAAATTACTACGTGCGAGACTGTTCCGACTCCAAATATTGCTAAATGCTTGGCTTCTATTGTCGTTATAATTAAACAGTCTATACGTCTATACGTCTATACATTTTTCGTATCAAACACTCGATTTATTATTGTTATGCTTCATATACAAAGAGGTTCAGCTTAAAAACCAATTTTCGTTTTTTACGTATTTTTTCTGTACATAGTGTTAATCGGTTTCCAATTCAGCCTTTGCCAAACTTTATATCCAAAGAATTTTTGATTTGAACGAAAAATCAGTTCACATTTAAAACTATTTGTCTTACTTGTGCTTGTGTACAAGCAAGCCGTTTGGAAAGTTTTAGAACGTCGAAAACGTTTGTGGGTTCGCTGAGGAAATTGAACTGAAAGGACGTGAAGGAAAAGAAAGTGCTTAAAAGCAGCATATGGACAGTCGAATTGAATTAGGCAAGACGAAAAATTTATTCTCATTTATTCAACTTTTTCCTTTCCAGTTTCTTCAGTGTAGACAAATATCACGTCCAAAATCAAGCAAAAAAGCTAATAGATTGTGCAGCGAACAAAGGCAATTAATAATTGAATTGGCGTTTCAAATAATACAATTCATTGGCATTGAGCAACCGTTATAGGAAAAAGGCGAAAACAATTATTGAATTTTAAAAGCGAAATTTGGTAACATTGAAATAATCACCGTGCTTATTTTAATTATTGACTATTTGCTATGGTCAGCGAATAATCGTCGATGGCATTTAATAGGCAAATTTCCCATGCAATTACAAATAAATGGAAAACGTTTGCAATGTTACTAGAGTTATTAATAACCTGGCAAATTGTAACTGTTTTTGCGGCTTATTTGGAAACTGTATGAATTTTTGAAGGTGGTTTTGAGTTAATATCTACGAGTCTTAGAACCGCACTTGTTGACTTGTACTTAGAGAACCGGTTGAGCTACGAAATTCTAGTTTTCATTGTGTGAAAGAGCGTTAAATTGTGTGCTTTTTTGCCAAATGTCATTTCAAAAATGTCTAGTTTTTACGCAAAATGCGAAAATTCAAAATGAATGCGAGTCTTCACAACTGCACTTATTTGTTGGCTTCTACTTAGAGAAGCGGTTGACTTAGAAAATTCTGGCTTTCATTGTGAGAAAGAGCGTTAAATTGGGTCCTTTTTATGCATTAAAATATAATGTTAAAAATGTTTCTAGTTTTCACACAAAATGCAAAAATTCAAAATGAATGCGAGTCTTCAGAACCGCATCTATTCGTTGACTGACGAACGTTGTCGACGACTGACGTTAAGAGAACCGATTGAGCTACAAAATTCTAGTTTTCATTGTAAGAAAGAGCGTTAAATTGTGTGCTTTTTTGTCCTAAATATCATTGTGAAAATGTTTGTAGTTTTCACCCACAATGCAAAAATTCAAAATTAATGCGAGTCTTCAGAACCGCACTTATTAGTTGGCTCGTATTTAGAGAACAGGTCGAGCTACGAAATTCTAGTTTTCATTGTAAGATAGATCGTTAAATTGGGTTCCTTTTACGGATTAAACTATAATTTTAGGAATGTTTCTAGTTTTCACGCAAAACTCGAAAATTCAAATTGAATGCGAGTCTTCAGAACTGCACTTATTTGTTGGCTTGTACTTAAAGAAGCGATTGACTTGGGCAATTCTGGGTATCATTGTGAGAAAGAGCGTTAAATCCCGTGCTTTTTTATGCTAAATATCATTGTGCACATGTTTCTAATTTTCACGCAAAATGCAAAAATTCAAAATCAATGCGACTCTTCAGAACTGCACTTGTACGATGGCTTGTACTTAGAGAACCGGTCGAGATAGTAAATTTTAGTTTTCATTTTGAGAAAGAGCGTTAAACTGGGTGCTTTTTATTCCAAATATAATTCTGAAAATGTTTCTAGTTTTCACGCAAATTGCAAAAATTCAAATTGAATGGGAGTGTTTAGAACCGCACTTATTCGTTGGCTCGTACTAAGAGAACCGGTTGAGTTCGGAAATTCTGGTTTTTATTGTGAGAAAGAGCGTTAAATTCCGTGCTTTTTTATGACAAATATCATTGTGCAAATGTTTCTAATTTTCACGCAAAATGCGAAAATTCAAAATGAATGCGAGTCTTTAGAACCGCACTTATTCGTTGGCTCGTACTTAGAGAACCGGTTGAATTACGAATTTCTAGTGTTTATTGTGAGAATGGGCGGTAAATTGGGTGCTTTTTTGTTCCAAATAACATTCTAAAAATGTTTCTAGTCTTCACAGAAAACGCGAACATTCTAGATTTATCTATTGCTGAAAGTTGAAACTTTAACATTAGCTATTTAAAACCCGCTTACTATCCAATGAATATGAATTTCTGTATTTTTAGGACAATTGCCACTTCCAAGTTCGAGCCCACTTATGCCCGGCAAGCGTTTCCATGCTTCGACGAGCCGAACATGAAAGCCCAATACATCGTCCACCTTTTGAAGCCGAAAGAGGAAAACTATATCGCTTTGTCCAATTACCCGGTGGATGTAAGTGAAATCTTCAGTCTCCTCTCGAAATTTTTCAATCATTTTGACCCAATTTCAGAAAATTGATGATTACGACTCTACAAACGAGCTGGTTACTTTCAAGCAGACTGTATCGATGTCCACCTATTTAACGTGTTTTATTGTCTCCGACTTCACTTATACGAATACGACTTTTAATAATAGCGGTAAGAGGATTTGGATGGTTTCTAGAACGGGGTTGATCGTTTAATTTGATTTCAGGCAATCTAACTGAGCTGCGAGTGTATGCCAGTCCGGGGAATTTACAGAAGACTACTTATGCTGGCGAAGTGGCCAAGAAAGTAATTGAGTATTACGTGGAATATTTCGGAATTCCATATCCTTTACCAAAGCTAGGTAAAGCCTATATCTCCTGTTCGCTCCTTTATCTCCTCTGATTTTGATTAATGTCCTAGATTTGGTGGCAATCCCTGATTTCGTCTCCGGCGCAATGGAACATTGGGGCTTGGTGACTTTCCGAGAAACCGCTTTGCTTTATACCGACACGACGCACTCGTCCGCCAATAAACAGCGAGTGGCCACAGTGGTTGCTCACGAATTGGCCCATAGTTGGTTCGGAAATTTGGGTAAATCTAAAACACTCTCGACTTCTCAGGGTTGGTAATTGGGGTGTTGTTTCCAGTAACAATGAACTGGTGGAACGACCTCTGGCTCAATGAGGGATTCGCCAGCTACATAGAATTTAAGGGAACGCACGCAGCACAGCCTGACTGGCAAATGGTATGAATCAACTGACTTATTGAGCATAAGAATCTACATTTTTTAAATTTCAGCAGTCGCAATTTCAAACATCCGATCTTCACAGCGTGTTGACTTTGGATGCCACCTTGTCCTCACATCCGATTGTGGTTTCTGTAACTACCCCAGATGAAATTACAGCTATTTTCGACGCTATTTCCTACAACAAGGTACGCACTAAGCTGAAGCTGCCAATTTCAGCCCAGCTACAGCTTTCATTGACTTTTTAGGGGGCATCCATTTTGCGAATGTTGGAAAATACAGTGGGCGAAGAGCAATTCCGGACTGGCGTCACCAGCTACTTGAACAAGTACAAATTTGGAAATGCTGAGACCAAGAACTTTTTAGCGGAAATTCAAGCAGCGGTAGGAACTCCCAGAGGGGTGAATTGTACAATTAAGCGCTGGTTTCTTGTAGGTGAGTCCCAGTTTCGATGTATCCCAGTTGATGGATACTTTCACGATTCAAATGGGGTATCCGGTGGTCAATGTAACGTACGACGCTGCTAAACATAGCTACACATTGACCCAAACGCGATTTTTAATGGATGATAACGCCACTTATGAGACAAACAACACATATGGGTAAGTGAGGTGAAATATGAACAACACGAAATATTTATTTGAAGAGCTTTTTTTTCTTGATAGAAATTAATCGCTAAAATTTAAAGGTTCTTAACATGTGATATCCTGAACTCAGAAGGCAGCTGTTGGATCAGTAGAATTTTATTTATTTTTTTTAATTGGAGTTGGATACGGCGTTAATCCGAAACACTGAGTGTAGAGAAGAATCTCTACTTTTTCTAACACGGTCATTGCTGAGCTTCAAACTAATCTCAGTTGGCCGCAATTCATTCTCCAAGTTTGTCTAGTAAAGAAGGAAAAGGAGTGAGGATTGTTTTAAAAAATTCCTACCAACTAGCCTGATGATGGCATTCACCCGAAACTTTGCGCCTTTATAGGGTGAACTGTGCTCCTTCCAGAGCCGAATCGGCAACTCTGTACCAGGAGAGGGAGTTTTGCTAATTTGAAAACAGTATGGTAGTTTTTTTAAAGCAAATTTTCGCTCAAATACCGTGAAGATGGCGTTAATCCGAAACATTGCGTGTAGAGAAGAATTTTTGCTTTTTCTAACACAGCCATTGCTGACCATCCAACTAATCTTTTAATCTGAGCTGGCAGCAATTCATTCTCCAAGTTTGTTTAGTAAAGAAGGAAAAATAGTGAGGATTGGTTTAAAAAATTCCTATCAACCAGCCTAATGATGGCGTTTACACGAAACTTTGTGCCTGCATAGAGCGAACTGTGCTCTTTCCAGAGCCGCAATAGGAAACGCTGTAGCGTGAGAGGGAGTTTTGCTAATTTGAAAACAGCATGGTAGTTTTTTTGAAGCAAATTTTCGCCCCAATACCCTGAAGATGGCCTTCATCCGAAACACTGAGTGTAGAGAGAAATCTTTACTTTTTCTAGCGCAGCCATTGCTGAGCCTCTAGCTATTCTGAGTTGGCAGCAATTCATTCTCCAAGTTTGTCTAGTAAAGACGGAAAAAGAGTGCGGATTGGAGTTAAAAATACCTGCCAACTAGCCTGATGATGGCATTCACACGAAACGTTGAGCCTTCATAAAGCGGACTGTGCTCTTTCCAGAGCCACAATGGGAAACTCTGTAGCGTGAGAGGCAGTTTTGCTAATTTGAAAACAGCATGGTAGTTTTTTTGAAGCAAATTTTCGCCCCAATACCCTGAAGATGGCCTTAATGCGAAACACTGAGTGTAGGGAAGAATCTTTACTTTTTCTAACACGGTCATTGCTGAGCTTCCAACGAATGTCAGTTGGCAGCAATTAATTCTTCAAGTTTCTCTAGTAAAGAAGGCAAAAGAGTGCTGATGGGTTTTAAAAATTTCTACCAACTAGCCTGATGATGGCATCCACACGAAACGTTGCGCCTTCATAGAGCGAACTGTGCTCTTTCCAGAGCCGCAATGGAAAACTCTGTAGCGTGAGAGGGAGTTTTGCTAATTTGAAAACAGCATGGTAGTTTTTTTGAAGCAAATTTTCGCCCCAATACCTTGAAGATGGCGTTAATCCGAAGCATTGCGTGCAGAGAAGGATCTTTACTTTCTGAGATGGCAGCAATTCATTCTCCAAGTTTGTCTTTATTTTACTTTAATTTACTCAGTTCGAACTTTGAACACAATTTGAAAATTTGTGCAGATTTAATCTGAAACACTCTGTATACAAGATTAGACGGTTGGTGATGATGGGGAAAGTTTTCTTGTTCGTCAGTCTAAGAGCTATTTTTTGTCTTTTCTAGGTATAAATGGACGATACCCATAACATATATTACCGATCTGGGAAAATCGAGCGAATTAATATTATTCCCTTATGACAAGGAAAGCAGTAAGTACTTACCACTATGTATTTGCTTAATGCGTAATAAATAATTGAGAAATTGGAAAAATGGCTTGTGGAAACCGACTGTGGCACCGAAAAAAACGGTTTTTGATTGTTTGCTCTTTTGGTGCTCACTTTTCACGATTTTTTTTCGTGCTTTCATTTTCCTCTGGTTATGTATTGAAATGTTTCTTTTAACCTCCCACTAAAATTATTATGGTTATTTTTAATGATGCTTAGGTGAAATTAAGTGAGAACACAAAATTAGAATGTAAGCAACTTTTCTGGTGCTGACTTTGATATTTTTTTTGTTTTATTGACTCCATTCAACCCGTTTTCTTTTCATCATCGTTCAATATTATTTTCTCTTGTTTACGAATCTGTGATTCGGACTGAGCAACTCTAGTGGCTCCTATTCTGTTCGCGTTTTCGCATCAAATCCATTGAGGTGAATTTTATAATGTGCAACTTGGGTAAAATCAAACAAGCTCAAACTTGGGTTTAAAGAACTCTGTGCTCGAAAGAACAGTTTTACGTTGGAAAATAGTTTGCGAATTATTGGCTCCATTCAACGCTTTTATTCATCATTCTCCATTATTATTTCTTCTTGTATGGAAATCTTTAAATAGGAGTGACGATCTCTTGAATATTTGTTAATTTGTCTCTGGATTTCCTACGTTAACCCAACTGATTTTCTTTGCATTAAAAAAGTTTTCTGTGGAGAAACTGTAGGAAAAATTTAATTTCTTCAAATAAGCACATTTTTGAAAAGCTTTCAATTCTCTACTTCAAGCCACTTGATTTTCTCTTCATTCAAGAAGTTTCCATTTGAAAAATTGTACGCAAATGATCAAATTTTTTCAAATTATCGAAATTTTGGAACTTTTGAATCTTGGAACTTGGAACTGAAATTTCTTCAAATTATTGCATGTTTGAATTTTTTTTATTTAATGCAAATAGTTTTCTTTCCATCCAAAAAGTTTTCTTCAATGCAAGCGATTTTCTCTGGATTCAATAATTTATTCTGGAGATTCTGCAGAAAAAAATCAAATTGCTTCAAACGCTCGCATTTTTGAAAGAAAACTTTTCAACTTCCTACTTCAATCAATCAATTTTTATCTGTATCCAAGACGTTTCCTTTTAAAAAACTAGATGCAAAAGATCATATTTCTTCAAACGCTTACATTTTTGAAAACTTTTCAACTTCCTGCTTCAATCCAATCAAATTTTCTCTGTATCCAAGAAGTTTTCTTTGGAAAAACTAGAGGCAAAAGATCAAATTTCTTCAAGTTATCGCATTTTTGGAAGTTTAGCTTCTTTATTTCAATGCAAACGATTTTATCTTCATCCGAAAATTTTCTTTAAACAAAATGCAGGAAAAGACCACCAAATTTCTCCAAATGTTCGCATTCTTTAAAAAATTTCAATTTTTTTCTTCAATGGAGGCGATTTACTTTAAATCAAAGATATTATCGTCAAATAATCGCATTTTTAGAATTTCTATTTTCTGTATTCCAATACAAACGATTTGCTCTTCATTCAAAACATTTTCTTTAGAGGAAGGAAAGGAAACGAAAGGAATTTGTTCAAATAATTGCGTTTACATACATACATTTTTAATTCTCTACTTTAATAAAATCGATTATTTTTGCATCCAAAAAGTTTTCATCCATAAGATTACCTCAAATTATCGCATTTTTTTTTAACTTTTAACATTATTGTACTTTAATGCGAACGATTTTTTTTATTCGCAAAATTTTCGTTGAAGAAACTGCAAGGAAAAAATCAAATTTCACTTCTCTTCTTCAATACGTTCAATTTTCTCGGTGTCTGTTTACGTTTTTTTTTTTGAAAACTGCAGATGATTAGATTTCTTCAAATGAGAGCACTTTTGGAGCCTTGAAATTATCTGCTTCAATCCACTCGATTTTCCCTGTATCCAAGAAATTTTCCTTTAAAAAACTGTAGGAAAATGATCGAATTTTTGGACAATGTTCAACTTCCTACTTCATTTTCTTTTTGCTTTTCTTTAAAGATCTTCACCCTTTAAATTTATTTCTTGTCTATTAATTTCTCTCTGTTTGTGTGTTGAATTGGTTTTTTTTACTTCCACTTTTCAATGCTTCTGGGCTTTAAAACTATTGTGATGTGAGTTCTATGATGTAGAAGATTAGGAAGAACCAAACATGAGCTCAAAAAAATGAGTCTAAACAATTCTGTGCTGGAAAGAACAGTTTTTCGTGGGAAAGTAGTTAGTGATTTATTGGCTCTAATCAACTCTTATTCATAATTCGCCATTCGCGATTAAGATTGTGAATCCTTCGCATATTTCTTGATTTATTTTAGGAAGGACTATTTGTCCATTTTCTGTTCGCTTTTCTTTAAATCATTTCATCGCTTACACTTTTTTCTTGTCTACAATTGTTGCTTTAATTTTTCTCTGTTATCTCTGTTATCTGCGCTTTCCAATTATTTTGGGCTTAAAATATATTGTTGTAATTTTTATGATGCAAAGCTTAGGTAGAACCAAACAAGCTCAAAAAATGAGCCTAAACAATTCTGTCCTGGAAACAACAGTTTTTCGTTGGAAAGTAGTTTATGATTTATTGGCTCTAATCAACTATTTTATTCATTAGCCTCCATTATAATTTTTTCTTGTTTACGAATTCGCGATTGGGATTGAGGATCCTTTGAATCTTTCTTGATTTATTTTTGGAGGAACTTTGCTCATTTTCTGAACCTTTTTTTTTGTCCAGAAAAAAAGATTTCTAGTTTATATTTTTTACTTTCATGTTCTCCTGCTTGGGTGTTGAAATGGCTTTTTTTACCTCCGCTTTTCAATGCTTTTTCTTTCAATTCTAGTTTAAAATTTTGGCTATCATTTTCTCCTGCTTGTGTTTTGAAATTGTTTTTTTAACTACGCTTTCCAATGCTATTGGGATTAAAATTTATCTTGGTGATTTTTATGATGTGAAGCTTGGGTAGAACAAAAAAAGCTCAAAAAACGAGTCTAAGCAATTTTGTGCTGGAAAAAAGTAGTTTGTGCTTTATTGGCTCTATTCACCTATTTTATTCATTATCCTCCACTATTATTTATCTTTGGAAGAACTCTGTGTTGATTTCCTGTTTTCTGTAAATCTCTTTTTCGCATCAATTTTCTCTCATTTATTTGCTTTAATAAGGTGCTTAATTTTTATCTGTTTGTGTGTTAAAATGGTATTCTCTACTTTCATTCTTCAATGTTTTTGCGATTAAAATCTATTGTGCTGATTTTTATAATGTAAAACTTGGCTAGAATCAAACAAGAGCTCAAAAATCGGGTCTAAAGAATTATGTGCTCGAAAGAACAGTTTTTCGTTCGAAAATAGTTTATGAATTATTGGCTCCATTCAACCTCCATTATTATTTTTCTTGTTTACAAGTCGTTGATTGGGATAAGGATCTTTTAAATATTTCTTGAATTTTAATTTGGAAGAACTCTTTGTTCACTTTCTGTTCGCTTTTCTTTAAATCTCTTCATTGCTTCAATTTTTTTATTTTTTATAATTGCTACTTTAATTTTTCTCCATTTGTATGTTGATTTGGTTTTTACCTCCGCTTTCCAATGCATTTGCGCTTAAAAATGTTTTTTTTTATCACAACGTAAGGAGAACCAAAAACACAAGCTCAGAAAATGAGTCTAAACAATGCTGTGCCGGAAAGAACAGTTTTCCGTTGGAAAGTAGTTTGTGTTTCATTTGCTCTATTCAACTGCTTTTTATTCACCATCCTCTATTATTTTTTTTTTGTTGACAAATCCTGGATCAGGATGAAGGAACCTTTCATTTATTTCTAGAAGAATTTTCTTGTTTGCGTATTTCCTGCTCGCTTTTCTTTAGCTTTCTTCCTCGCTTCATCTTTTTGGTTTGCCATTTTCGCTTTCATTTTCTTGTGCTTGTGCGTTGAAATGGTTTTCTTTATCTGTGGTTTACTGTGCATTTGGGACTCCAAATATATTATGGTGATTTGTAGTGAAGTAAAGTTTACGTGCAGCTAAATGAGACCAAAAGAAGAGCCTCAAAAATTGGTTTTCCGATCGTGCTGGCAAAACAGTTTTTCGTTGCAAAGTAGTTTGAATTTTACGTTTGCACATCCTTAATTAGATTTCAATTAAATTTTTCTTGATTTCTCTTTCGAATAACTGTTGGCCCCTTTCTGTAGATCTATCCATCGCTTCAATATTTTCGTGTTATTTATAACTTTATTTTTCTTTTCTCTTTGGTTGTGTTCAAATGTGTCTCTTTCGCGCCGCGATCCAATGTTTCAAGACGTAAATTATGTTTTGGTGCTTTTTAATGATCTAAAGTTTAGGTAAATTTAAATTAAAGTTTCTAGTGAGACTTGAAGTTATTAGTTTTAAAAGTTCGTCTTCTGCAGATGCAGGCTTTTGCGGAGAACATGCCTGGTTTTCCTTCGCTGGAGTTTTCCAGTAAAACACGATAGTCGAATGATTTTTCTCGCATTGCATCTCCTTTCAATATCAGTAAATTTTCCTCTTCAAAACTCCTCTCTTGCTTTTATTTCGAATTGTTTCGATCATATTTGTTTGGCTCGACTTTTCTTCTCTGTCGCCATTTTCATTTTCAAGACTAAATCGCATTGCAAAAGCGATTAAATCTAATTAATTTCAGTTCTTCCAAAATCGAGTAACTCGATCTGTTTAACTCGATTAGCTCCGATAATCAAAGCAATTTATCGGGCTTTCAAGCTTTACTCCAAGTACATTGTGAGGCACACATTCAAAGACTTTTGTTCTTTGCAGTTTCTGTTTCAAGACCTACAGATGCTGCTTGGTTGAAATTCAACTATGACCAAATTGGCTACTATCGAGTGAACTATAAAGAAGAACAATGGCGCAATCTGATCAATGTCTACACAAGTTTGCCTATAGCAGATCGAACTCATCTGTTGGAGGAAACGTTCAGCATTGCTGAAGCTGGACAGTTGTCCTATACGTGCGTACTTTGGCGATCACATGTTAACTGAAGGGACTGAAAGTTCCTTGATTTTTTCAGAATTCCCTTGGATTTGTCCAAGAAACTCAGCGAAGAGACTGATTATGCTCCTTGGACCGTGGCCTCGTCAAAGTTACAAGGAATTAGCACCTACTTGAGTGGATCTAATCAAGATGAGGCATTCAAGGTAAATAAGTCGGCGTCTTATTTTTAACTATTACCCGACTGAAATCTTGCAGAAATACATCAGAAGCGTCGTATCGAATGCCTATGGCAACTTTACGTGGAATGAGGGAGCTGATGACGGCCACCTGAAGAGGTGAGTCGTTTTACTGTTCACTGACTTGGCGTTTTACTGGCTTAATTCCAGGTTGACTCGCATAGTTGTTTTGACTTTGGCTTGCACAGCAGAACATCCAGATTGCCTTTCACAAGTCCAGGAAAAGTTCAACGAATGGATCAACAATGCGGCGCAACCTTTGTCGCAAGACCTGAGGGGAATTGTCTATAAATACGGTAACAATTGTGTTTTTTTATTGCTTATTTCGTTTCAGGTTTTAACTTGACTGGGGCTTTACATTTTTTCTTACGAATTCTTATTGATCTTATTTGCTTTGTGTGTACATTTTCCATTCTTGAAACTTAGCGTAGGTAGGGGTGAGTGGGGAAATACCGGCCTCCTAAGAAAAGTCTGAAATATCGTCCAGACTTTACTGTTTAAAAGGAAACTGGGAGGTTTAAATCAAAGACCCTTGAGAACATAATAAATGTTTATTAAAAGTAAACAAAAACGTTTTTCAAAAGCAAACATTTATTTAAAAATGTATTAGCGGTCGGCATTAGCCCGCAGTTTGGGGGGTAATAACAGCCGGGGCCCGCAATTACCCAAAATTTTTGTAACTGGCAAAAATCGCAGACATATATTTTTTTCGTTTCCCCATTGGTATAATCGTTGTGGGTCCATCCAGAACATCTCACACATCTCAGCCAAAGTTCGTGATTTTTCCCAAATTCTCCACAAATAATGCAAATGTCCGCAGTAATTTCATCGTCTGAGTTTTCCATTTTCCCCTCTTCTTCCTTACAGTTATTATAAGTTACCTTAGTTTTGTTTCTAAGCGTTGGTTTTTGTTTTATGGTAATATTGATGTTTTTGTTTACTAAAACGCTGGTGTCATCAAAGTTACCGAAAACCTTTTTACTCTCTTTGTTTTTGGCGGTTCGCGACCATGACTTACTTTCTGCAACTTTTCCTGTTTTGCATTTGCTTTTGCCTTTAAAAAATCTTTCATTGGAGTGGAAGTAAATATTTGGGAGTGTTGCTTTTTCCCACCTTTTTTTTTCTTTGGGTAGTAGTTCCAGAACATACAAGATTTGGTATTATTTTTCCAAATGATATATTTTGTCTTCTTTTATTTTCGTTTCTGTCGGCCTTGAAACTTTGCTGTGTTACATCTTCTGCCCTTTCTCCGGTAATTTTATCTTCTAATTGATTGTTTTCAGGAATGGGCTCATTTAAATTTGTAGTTTGTAAATTTTCAACAGGGGCAAAATCTTCTGCATTAAAAACATCAGGATTGACAGGAAATATTCCCATTACCTGAAAACCTTTGATAGCTTTCTCGATACTTGCAACTCTCCCAAAAGCTTATTGAACAAATCAGCTACGATATTATGCGTAATTTTTTCTCCGGGATTATTCCTTATAAACTGATCGCATTCTGAATTATATGCTGTCCTCAAAGGACCATAAAATGTAACGTCAAGCGGTTGAACACGGTGCGACGTATGTGGAGGGATCGTCAGCAGAATCATTCCTCTTTCTTTGCAGAAGTTGTAGGCATTTAACGAACAATGACTAGAGTGGTTATCTAGTAACAACAAAACTGGATCTTCGTTTGAACTTTTAACACAATGCTGAAAGTGCTGCAACCATTCACAGAATAAATTTTTGGTTATCCATCCGTTATCTGAGCAGCGATAAATAGCTCCTGGAGGTCCGTTATTTTTCAAGTGATCGGCCATTCTTTTCCTGGCATAGATAAACATTGGAGGAGCGTATAATTCCAGATGCGCTAAATGAACAGATGACAGTCGTAGTTTTTTCCTTCTCCCAACTAATCAAATGACCAACTCTTTTTTGCCGTAGATCTTGCTTGGACGTTGTACTGTTGTGATGCCGGTTTCATCACAGTTAAAAGTCCTTGACGTTGAAAATTTGTACTTGTCCATTACAGCATTCAGGTTCGCAAAAAATATTCCAATTTCTTCTTTGTTGAAAGCCGTTACACGATTTATCCTGGTGGATTCAGTCTTTCTAAGTCTAATTTGTGGGTTGCGTCTTAAATATCCCTCTAACCAGTCACGACCCGCTGATCCATTTTCTCTCTTAAATAAATTTTTCTAATTATTCAGTAGTGCAAACGTGTAGGCGCTTGGCTGATGTGCCACCGAAATTCCAAAAAACATTTTGTAGAGATGAATTATTTGCTTCGATGATTCACTGTCCTGTTCTTGATTAAATACTGGACGTCGTCCGAATTGAGGCTTAGATACTCTGCGGCTTCTACGTCGATCTTGAAAAGTAGCTCTAGGAATACCAAAACTTCTCGAATAGCGCGTCCACTTTCAATTGCTGTAAGAGCTGCTTGAAGGCTCTCGGAAGTCCAAGACCCTCTATGAGTTTTTCGGAAATATGTCCGCGGCATCAGAAAATGAACGAAATTATAACAAAATATCTATGGGGTAATACAGGCCATGCCGATATTACCTACAATCTGATGCCCGACATTACCGCTGAAACAATAATCCAAATACACACATATTATTTGAATATGCTTAAACGTACGTTTTTTTAAGTAAAGTAAGTGAAAGACAACAGAAGTTAGGTCGTTTGTATATAAACAAACTTTTTTTAACACTTACCGATACTGAAACATACACGTTTAAACTAACACTTGCTTTTGGATAAAATTCTGCGTAGAAAACGTGCGGCGTTCCGGAACAGTGCCTAATTGAGACTGGAGGTAGGTTTGTTTACGTGCTTGATCGGTACTTTGAAAGTACCGATCAAGCACGTAAAGAAGTTATCCGGCTCTTTGAAAGATAAAGTCTGGAATACATTTTTTTTAAGTTAATTGTTTCAATCCGGGGCGAAATAGCTTTAAAATATCGGAGGGCACGATTATTCCGCTGGATTCTATTCAGATAGAATTAAATGCCTTTTTGTTGAGAACGAGTGCAAGTTTTTCAGTTGCGTCTTAAGATTTACTCCTAAACTGTGTTTCAAAGATCCCCAAGTAGGCGAAGAACTTGTACCTCTTGAGATTGTGTTAAAAACCGAGAGACCGAGAGGATACGCGATATGCGATACACTCGTTTATTGTGCTCCGTATTATTGTTTCAAATTTCAAAGGTTTTATTTTTTTAACACTTTTAAGTTATGAATTAGTATGGAGGATAGCTGTGACGGTGAGCCTATTAGCAAGCAAAGAATTAGGGGTAAATCTGGCCGAGGGCTGACAAAAAGCAGGAGTTTTTCGGCTGGTTCAAAAAGTCAATTAACTAGGAACGAATTGGAAGATATCATTGGAATTCGTAGAGTAAACACTGGTGCTGATAAGGACAGTCGGTGTACGGACATCAATTCTGAAACGATCACAATCAGATATTTAAACCTAAAACTTCAGTAAGCCGGATACCACCTGAAAATCAAGCAGAAAACATAAGGAACAAAATTAAGGAAAACGAAAACAACAAACAGGAAGACTCAGGCAAAAGAAATAGATCTACTGGTACCCCGGAATCAGAAGTAACACCGAAAAAACAGAGCGAAAGAAATATATCGCTTATGTCCACCAATTTACATAACTTTGAACAAAGCCAAACTAAAAATAAGACTGCAAAAAATGGGATGATCGGCAAGGGGATAAAGTATTGTTAGAAGTATTTTTCTCTCTGGAGAGAATTGCGGCTATAGCAAAGGAAAATGACATGCCGAAAGATGACCAGAACGATTTAAATAGTGCTAGTTATAATATTGTAACGGAAATGGCCTGGGGTACTCACGTTTGGAATGGAGGATCGAAATTCATGGTATTTCAGTAAATGGGAGCTCCATTTGGGCCCCATTTACTGTCAAATATGACACTGACAAGCGGGAAGTTTCGCACCTGTTCTGGAGATTTGGAGAACTATCTGGGATACCTAGAGAAAACTATATAAGCGACGACGAGAACCATGGGAGGGAGCGAGCAGGTGCAGAAGAGGTTAAACCCCGCGAGTCGGAAACGCGTGTTTTCCGTGTGTTATTGTTATCGTTTGTGAAGTTGACGGTAATTTTGAAGTTAGTTTGTTCCTGTTCCGTAGTTAAAGTTGTACCGAGTGGAATAAAAGTTGGAAGCAGAAGAAAGAGTTTAATACTCGGCCATCCACGTTACAATATTCATAAATCCCTGACTATTAATTCATAAACTTGGAATTATAGAAAAAGAAAATCTATCCCTAAGGTACCAACTACAAGACATAAGTAATTTCAACAAGGCCCTTGATACCAAGACGCAAATTAATATAAAGTCGAACACAGAAGAGAAATAGAAAAAAATACAAGCACTAAGACATATGCCAGTGTTACTTCTTTAAACATAAATAGTGAATTACAAAAGAGACAGGACAACTCCAAAAGTACAAAAAAAAACTCGAAACTCTGATAACAATTGACAGCAGCACCGATGCTACCGCAACCATGACTCAGCCGAAACAAAATATTTAAGAGAAAAGAAAGACTAAAGAAAAATTAAAACTTGCCCTTAAAGGAAAAAACAATAGACAAATCAAAGAGACAAACAATAATGATCCAATGTTTATGGTGACAGGTATAAGGAAAGGGTTGCCAGATGTAGAATATTTAGAAGATATTGTTTATCTAAATGAAGAAATAGAGACGGAGTTTGGATCTGTAATAGTCGGTAACATAAAAATCATCGCAAAAAAGACGTGTAGGAATCAAAGTAAAGAAGATTGGATCCTTCAGGCGCCACCAGACCTCGCTAAATGGTTCCTTAAGAAGCAACAAATTCATCTGGATATGATGGAAGTCTGTGTTCAGGAACATTATAGTCTGGCAATTTGTTTTAATTGTTCTGGATTTGGACATGTTGCTAAACATTGTAGAGAAAAACAGTGCTGCCACAAATGTGGTGAAGCACATCACAGTAAAGACTGCATCAGCGAGGCCCTCCTGTGTCCAAATTGTACCAGATTGAGACTGAAGCCGGAAGCAAGCCAACATTCAGAAAGAGATGCGCAATGTCCTGTGTACCAAAGAAGATTAGGGCAATATCAGAGCAGTATAAATGACGCTCAGGATCGGTCAGATACTACAAGATACAAACAAAGTAATAGATGAGAACAATACTTATACAAAAAGCATTATTCACCAGAATGTACAGTTATGGGGAACGCAGTTGACCGAATCAATGAGATGTTAAATGAACACAAAACATGTGAAATTTTGTGAATTACAGAACACTGGTCTTGTCTGAAGTCTGAAGATAAACTACGAAGTCTACGGTTAAATAATTTCAACTTAACATCGACGTTTTGCAGAGAAGAAGGAAAACATGGTGGATCAGCAGTTTATTGTAAAAACACTGTTAAGTGTAAACCCCGACAAAAACTAAATGACGAAGTGGCACCATTGAATGTGCGGTTGTGAAGTGCGTCTTTGGAAAAATGCAAATAACTGTTGTATCTTTATATAGGCCTCCTACGGGAGATATAAAGGTATTTATGACTCCACTTGAGCGTTTATTGTTATATATATTTAGGGAGGAGAGCTTGGTATTTGTATCAGGAGATTGTAATATTGAAACGTTAATAGACAATGAAAGGAAGGCCAATTTGCTGTGCCTAATGAGCGCGTTTAAACTTGTTCCTACGTCATGAATCAAAATACCAGAGTCACAAATACCTCTGCTAGTTGCATCGATAATGTATCTACAAATTCAGAGTTTCTATGTGTGCATGTCTTTGAGGGCTTTGTTTCAGATCATACTGCACAGGAGGTCGCTTTTGAAGTTAGGCACCCAGAAGAAAGACATTTAAAGTACAGACGCATGTTTTCGGACGAAGACAAGGGTAACTTCCTGTGTAGCCTAAATGATCAAAACTGGCATTTATGAACATTTTTAAAAACTGAAGTAATCAGAGCCTTCCCCGCAAATTGACAAATAAAAAACAAAAACCTAAAGTGTACAAAGATGTAAATGTTATAGAATAGAAGTACAGTTTAGACATCCTATTAACTTTGTCCAGACATGACGTAGCATCCAAAGCAACGATGACAAAGAAAAAAAGACCTATGATAGTCAAAGTTATGTTCGCATAACAACCGAAGAGCAACACTAGTTCCAGCTACGCCATCAGCATTCCTAGAATGCCTCATCAACATATTAAAACGTATATAGCCTAACGGTTTGCTATTATACGGGCTTTTTAAGGAATCTCAGTTCGCATCAGATTGTTTCGCGTTTACGTAAATAAATCTTTTTAAAAAGGGTTTTTCTTTAATGAAGAACTGGCGCAGTCGGTAGGATATTAGGGTAGCTTTATCAAAGCTACGTTATCGAAACGATTTGGTGAAGTGTGAATCTCAATTCTTCAACTCTGAACGTGAAAGAAATTTTTTTGTGTTCCGTTAAAGTGTTTTTTTTTTGCAGTATATCTGCGTTGTTAAAATGAAAATTATGCAACATTTGGTGTTAATGCTAAAATAAATTATAATTTGAGAACGGTTGATTTCACAGTTTAAAGTGTAAATGCAAATTTGTAAATAGTCTATCTAAGGTCGTATTAATATACAGGTACTTCCCTTTGAAAAACAAAAGTTATATTGCGTTAAAAAGTTTTAGATTGAAGTCCACATTTATTTTATTTAAAAATTTCAAAAAGTGGCTACATTTTGTACATTTGAGAATGTACGAGCATAAATACAGTCTGAGAAATACTAGTGAAAATAAAACAGCATTGACACAACATGCACACCAAATGTTGCATAACTTTGATCTTAACAACGCAGATATATTAGTTAGGGAAACAAATTATCTTAAAAGAAGAATCCAAGAAATGATACAAATAAAAAAACATGCAAAAGAAGTAAATTTTAGATAAGACACCGACAACCTTAGCAACATTTACCAAACCCTAATAAAGCCATAAGTATAGAACACCCTGTACACTGGTGAAAAATTAAAACTATTTCTGCTTATCTCAATACATATATACCACTCTCGCAAATGTAGAAAATAATTCAGACAAATTTAAGGTTTTAAGAAGACAAATACCTAAAAGAACGTTGATTTTTACCAATCATGAGGTAAGTTTTTCCAGTGGTTTGCTCTCCCAAAAGAAGGATTTTTTCCTCAAAAACTGATGAATTATCACTTTGTAAATTATAGTTTTTATACAACATGTTTTAATTCTGAATTGGTGTTTGTAGTTTGTGTAAATTTTAAATCTGATGATGGCGTTGTTGTCTCGCCGAAACGTAATGAAATAAACGATGTTCAAAATGTTTACTTCACACTTTGACTAAGACCCAGGAAAGATAAGAATATAACAAGTACGCGCAGTCAGGAAAATAAATCAGAATAAACTTAAATATGGTAAAATTTAATATTTTGAGGGAAGACTGTATGATCCAGAGGATTTTTGTCATTCAGAAAAGAATACATGGGATTATAAAGAAAATGACTTACTTGCACAGTTGAAGATCGATCTTTAAGCACCTCAAAATAATGACGGTTTATGGTGTCTATACATACGTATGTCTAATGTTCTTTAGAAACAAGAACCTTTTTGACATTAGACCAAAACATGAGTATAGCACCAGAGCATTGGATATCGGTTGTATGGCACATAGGCTATCGCTCACGGAAAGGTGTCCCCAGTATATGTGTATAAAATTGTTTAATTGTCCCCCAGCCAGAATAAAAGGTATTTCCTCCTAAAAATTGTTCAAAACGGAAACTAAGAAAGGGGTAATAGGTTTGGAACCCTATAGTTTAAGAGAATTTTGCCCCGATGTGTGAAACTGTGTGCCCGTTTTGACGTTATTTCATTTGGTGTTTGCCCATTATTTGGAATAAAGCAATATTATTATTATTTTTATTATTATTATTAAAAAAAGACCAGATTTTGAATAAAAAATCTGTTTTTGTTAGGAATGGTAAAAGCTGAAGAATCGACGTGGAATAAACTGTTGGCAGTTTATCAAGCTGAAACCGATGCAACCGAGAAATTGAAGCTGATCAATGGATTGGCCAACGTGAAAAATTCACTGCTACTTATCAGGTAAACCGGGTAATAAAGCGAGTCGCATTTTCTTTACCGCAAAATTTTTCTGTCCAGACTGTTGGATTTATCCAAAAACGAAACTATTGTGAGAAGCCAGGATTATTTCACCGTACTTGGGTACATTTCTGCAAACCCCACTGGCACTGATCTGGTGTGGGACTTTGTCAGGTAAGTCTTCAAACATTTTTCCAGCGGTAGTTTGCAAAAGTTACCGGCCTTTTCAGGCAAAACTGGGAATATTTAGTGGAGCGATTTACGTTGAACGACAGGTACTTGGGAGCGATGATCCGGACGATTACTGCCAAGTTTGCAACCGAATCAAAACTATTAGAGGTAAGAACGTTTTTTGCCGAATTATGTTGATTTTGTTTAAAAAAAGTTTTAAGTTGTTCGGCAAATTCAAGCTTGAAACTAAGATTTCAACTCTAGATTGTGTAAGGTACAAATGTAGGGAGCAAATTAAGGAAAACGTTGTCTTTTAATGATTCCAGATGGAGGAATTCTTTGCCAAATACCCGAACGCTGGTGCAGGCGCAACCGCGCGGAAAACAGCTTTAGAGACTGTGAAACACAACATAAAGTGGTTGTCCACCTACAGATCCACAGTGGAAAGCTGGATCTCTAATGTGAATAAGTGATAAAAGTATTTTAATAAATAAGTACAATTTTGTAAATTTTTCTTTCCATTATTGTGATCCTGTTGATAATAAAGGTGAAAATCCACAAACGAATTTTCGGTTTTATCATTTGAGAAAAATAAAGATCTAATTTGGTGGCGTCATTTGCCTTTGGGTTTTTATTGCTTGAAGCTTCAGTATTTTACTGTTTATTTGGTTTTTAGCTGTACTGTCTTTTCGTGTAAGTTCCAATGTTCCTCTGCCTTTTTCAGTTCACTTTTGTCTAACGAGCTTATTTTCTTTCGCTGCTTTAAAAGCCAAAACAATTTCTGCAAAGTCACCAAAGCATCATTTTCCCACATTTCTTCATTCGAAATACTATTTTCCGTTGAAAATCATACCACCATTATCGTACACGCTAAGTGTTTATCAAGCTTTGTCAATAAGAGCTGTTGATTTTTGGGCATTAAAATGGGTAGTAAATACCCGCTTTCATAACCATCACCGATATCTGAAAAATATTCTGAAAGTATCCTTTGGTAAATATTATGAAAATTGTCTTTGTGGTGGTTAAACACTTAATGGCAAGTGCTTGGATTGTTGGCACAGCTCATCAATGCAGAACAAATTTGCATTGCAAACATGTACAAATCCTCTTAAACTTGACTTCTATTTTTTGCATCGGCGTTAATTTGGTCGTTTTTTACGGGCCGATTTTTGAGAAATTTTGAAAAATACATAGCAAGCCACGTCTGAAGATGGAAGCCACTCATGCTTGCGAAACGTCAGAGTAAACTTATAAACGCAGGAAAAACTTGCCAGTTTTAAGGAGTGATCGTTATTGTTAACTAAAAATTCGAAGAATTAAAAGTTTAGTAATATTTTAAATAAAATGACGCTATGATAAGTATGAGCACTCAGATTAAAAATGTTGGTCCTTACTGACACAGTTTTAGAGATATATGAATAAATAAAAATATATTAAGTACTCAAAGCATTGATTTACTGCTAAACTTTATTGACTCCAAACCCACTTTGCTAATTTTTCCTTAATGTATTTCAAACGATAGCAAACAGTCACTGTTTAGTTTGCGGTGTGAAAGAATAAAAGGAAACGAAAACGACACTTGTTATCACTCGCGCGTTTGTGGACGGTGGTGCTCGCGGTAACCCAAAAAATCTGCGTGCGTGGTACCAGAAGAGAATTTCGATCCGGTGCGGAGATTTCCGTCATATCTTTTGTACATCTCGGTGCGGTGCACGTTTTTACTAGAACCCGGCTAGAGGCGACTTTAAAAAATCAGGTATGAATAGAAAGTACTTTTAGTTTTAACTGGAGCGTGTACGCTGGAAAATTGCTAAGAAAAGTGGATATTTTCACTAGTTTTTTTCGATTTAAATTGCCGATTTTTAAATGCAATATATTCTTCTAAGGAAACGACTTTGGATTTAGATTGAAATTTTCTTCGAAACGTTCTTCGTTTGTTTTTCTTGTGTTAAACATTCTTTATTTTCCACAAGCACATTTTACTTAAACTGTGCTTTCATACATAAAAAGACACGCTGTTTTTTTAAACGCATCTGAAAATTTGAATGCTTTAAGGCCCTTTATTTTTGTTTCTGCCCATTTCAAGCGATTTAATCGGCTGTTGCTTAAATTTTCAGCTGAAAATGTTAAACAACGTGTCTTTTTTTCTCTATACCTAGAGAATTGAACAATTATAAACATATATTTTCACCAAACAATCAATGTGATGGCCATAAGCTCAAATTACCTTTAATTATGAGGCAAAGTAGATTACAGTGTTTTCTAATGGAACAGTTGTGTATTAGTTATTGCTTTCTCCCGCAAATGGCCAGATAAATAAATAATTAATTATTTTTGCATGTCGTTTTTTCTCCTTGGAAACTGTATGCACATAATATTCACAGATACATGGTAAAGTATGAAACGCTTGGCAGTGGTTTTTTCTGTTCCACTATTGATTTTTTTCTAAATATTTAACTTGCCGCTTTTAATTCACTCCTTTTCTTTGTGTGTTTTAGTTCAAATAGTCCAATTTTCTTAAATTCTTAGTGAATTTTATTTATTGTGAAACTATTCATATCGTTTTGTTTTCGTGTTTGCCTTAGTATTTATCTTGTTCTTTAGTGTTTTTGTCAGTTTATGAGTTCGTTCTCTGCAGTGGAAATTGTAGTATTCATTTTCTGACTCGTTTAAGCTCCTAAAATCTAATTCACAATTTTAATCGATGCAAAATGGGCAAAAACTAAAATCTTGGCGAAAAAACAACTACCTGAAAAAAAAATGCTAACTAAAGAAAATGAAGGTTATTGCGTGTTTTTAACTTTTATTTGGGGCTTTAATGATTAATCCTCATGTCCGTATTGATAATTTAATAATTGTGTTCTCCAATAAAAATACTAATAGAACCGTTCGTGTAGATTAAGAAGTTTAAAGTGTACTTTTGAACGCTTTAGTAAACCTCTAGAATTTTGCCTTGTGCTCAATAAAGAACCAGTAAATTACAAAATTTGCCTAAGTAGTTCATCCTGTATAACGCATTTAGTCGAGTTTATTTTTAGCCTTAATATGTCGAAACAACTATTAGATGGTTTTTCCATTTTTTGTGTTTTCCACTGTGAGAACGTTTTGTATTAATTTTGTATTTCTTGTCGCCTTGTTTATACTTTAGTTAGTATTAGTTTTACTCCTTAATTGAACTTGCAAATTTTCTTGAATCTTCTTTCATACGAAAATTCATATATTTTTTAGATCAACTATTACTATAAATATACCCATAAAGAATATTCTGACTCTCTCCCTCTTAGTCAATGTTCTCAATTTGCCCTAATGTTTGTCTAAATTCGGTCAAATTTTAAATGATAAATTGATAAAAATTCAGCTTTTTCTTCTGATTGTTCAGTAATCTTTAATTGAAGTTTTTATTTACAATTTTTGTTAGCCCCTGTGTTCGTTCGAAGCGGTTCATCACATTTTTGGTGAGTTAAATACATTTTCAAATCGCAAATTCTAATTTTTGTGCATTTAGCTGTTATGTTGTTGCTTTAGCCTTGAATGCTAAATTGAGAAATATCATCATAAAACAAAAATGTTTGTTCAATAAATGTCCAAAACCATCCATTAAATTTGAAAATTTTCCAAAATATCCATTTATGTGAAGCTTTGCCTAGTTGGATCCAACTAGAAGCTACTCTAGTTGGATTTGTCTGTATTTTCCACCAAGTTTCACAATTTGCTCTAATTTTTCGTATTATAATTTCGCTCGAAATTTAATTGACGAATTCAATAGAGTTTTCTCTTCTGATTATTCAGTCATCTTTGATTGAATTTTTGTATTTACAACTTTTGTTAGTTTCTATGTTTCTTCGAAACTGTTCATCAAATTTTTTTGGAGTTTAATTTATTTCCAAATAATATAATTTTTATTGCTTTAGTCTTGAATAAAAAAATAATAAGTCTGTAAATAAACGCTCAAAGTTTTATGCATTAAGTGGCAATGCCTTAAACAGAGCTGAAACTTGTGTTCAACATTAAAACTTCCAATATATTGCGTTTTTTCAGTTTTTTTGGAAAAAGAACTTTTCTGCGAATAAAATTCCCCTGAAGATTGAACTTGCCTCGGTCAAACTTTAACTTTTTCTTCTCTCATCTAAACTGTACAGTGCAGTAGAAATGTTTGCCTTATCGGTTTTCTTTAACTGTAATCATTTAAATTAAATTAATTACAAATGACAAAACTTTCAAGATTCAACACAAGATTTAAAGTATTCCGTTCCTGCTGGATTTCTCTGCTCTTTTCTCTAAATATGAAAGTTTTTTCAAACTGAATTAATTTACTTTTAAACACTAATAGACTTCTAGACTTTTGGTCTTGTGTTTAATAAACACCCTGTATATTTCTAAATTTGCTTCACGTATGTATCAACAAAGCAGTTAATCTTGTTAAGCCATTTAGTCCAGTTAATTTTTCTCTTTAATTGGTCGAAACAATTATTAGATGGTTTTTCCATTTTTTGTGTTTTAAATTCAATTCAATTTTTTCAATTTTCTCTTAACTTTCGTCTAAATTTGATAAAAATTTTATTTTATGATTGTTCAGTCATCTTTAATTCCTGATGAATTTAATTCATTTTCAAACCGCAAATGGGGGAATTTTTATGTTTTCGCATTGAGCTTTTATTTTTGCTGCTTTCGTCTTGAATGCAAAATTAGGAAATCCCATCATGAGACAAAAATATTTCTTCAATAAATGCCCAAAACCGTCCATTAAATAAGTGGCAAGCCTTAAACAGAACTGAACGGAAATATCCGGCGGTTTTTTAAGTTTTAACTTTTAATTTTTATTTGGATGTTTACAACTTTGAGAACTTCCGTAATTTTTGTATTAATTATTTTTTGTCGCCTTGTTCATACTTAGTTTTACTCTTTAATTGAACTTGAAAATTTTCCAGAACCTCCATTCAGATGAAGCTTTATATAATTTTAAGATCAACTATTTTCCGTAAGTAGGTATATTCTTACTCTAGTTGGATTTTTCTGTATTTTGCACCAATTTTCACAATTTGCTCTAATGTTTCGTATTCTAATTTCGATCGAAATTTAATTGACAAATTCATAAAAATTCAGTACAGTTTCCTCTCCTGATTATTTAGTCAGCTTTAATTGAATTTTGTTATTTATAATTTTTGTTAGTTTCTATGTTCCTTCGAAGCTGTTCAGCACACTTTTGGTGATTGGATCATTTTCAAACCGGCAATGTGAGAATTTTTAATTTTACGTATTTGGACTTCATTTTTGTTGCTTTAGTCTTGAATAAAAAAATAAGAAATCCGATTAGGAAACACAAAAATGCTCAAAACTTGTTCTTTCGTTGAAAAAAATAAGGAATAAAATTCCATGGAAGATTGAACTTTTCCTCGGTCAAACTTGAACTTTTTCTTCCCTCATTCAACACCATTCAGTGCAGTAGAAATGGGTGCTTCATCCGTTTTCCTTCACCGTAATCACATCAACTAAATTAATAAAAAATGACAAAACTTTCAAGATTCAGCACAACATTCAAACTGTTCCTTTTCAACTAAATTCTCTAAATATTCGTTGGTTGATGCATTATTGCTGCCAACAATAAATAGCCGATAGATCGAAAGCTATTATTCACAGTCGCTTAAATTATTTGAGGTCATTTAATGATCTACAAACCTTATAACGGATGTGCAATTAGAAAACAGAACACTAAAAAGTAGCAAACGGACTTTCGGGTCGTAACATGAATAATTAGAATTGACTGTTTGCACTTGTTAGGATGTTTACCGATACCAAAATCATTAAAAGAGATGGATGGAATCTAACCAGTTTCCCCATTGCGGATTGTTTGGTTTGCGTCCTTCAATATGTGTGAATTCTTCCATTTCGGCAATTTTTTTCACAGATTTTCCACAGCGTTCTTATATAAGAATATTTGCATTCAGCCTCATCATGTTAGTGGTGCGTGGCCTTTCTTCGCATCAAAAACTATTCTTCGCGATAAATACTATTTTGTCATAACAAATGGGAATTGTTATTGTTGCAAGAGCATCGGCCGGTTTTTATCGATAATGTCAGGTAGATTGGGAAATTTGCATGTAATTTGTGCCAGCGGGGTCACGTACTCATCAATGAGATTTCTTCACTTGGTGGCCAATCCATTGGGGGGAGATAAATACAAAATAAATATGTAATAATTGGGAAATACTGAATAATAATTTTATTGGCGCGTGGAAACGGTTTCAGTAGCAGACAGTCCATGAAGAAACTGAAGATCCATTTTTAATATTTAACTTCACTTTAGCACTTGGTTTAATTTATTTAACAGCAATATCTGATGGTAATTTTCACACTTGACTTGAAAAACCAGAAAAGTGTCATTGGTTGCGTTGAATTCTATTTTCCGGCCTAGTTAACTTTGTTCTCCAAATAGAAACTTTTACCCAACTGAGTTCTTTCTTCTGAAAACGTATCTTTCCAACTGAACCCCCACTGAAGTGGCGATTTGAAATTTTCACAATCTTTCGGAAAATCATTGACGCTCAAAACTGCTGAAAACTTTATTAACATTGCTTTGATTTTCTTCCGGCTTCATAAAAATTGGCCTTAAAGCAAAAGCTCTGTGTTGTTAATTGCTTCGGTTTGAATCTTTCAAACCGAAGCAATTAACAACACGAAATTTAGAACACATTTAGAAAACTATTGACTCTAAACTTTCACAAAGATTCATTAAAATTGCCCAGAATCCTAATTTTT